GCCCGGTCTGGGCTTGACCCCACAGTAATCCACCTGCCTCTGCCTCCTGAGTGCCAGGTGCTGGGATTAAAGGCCTGTACTACCATTGCTTGGCTGGTGGTTCATGTCTTTAATTCCAGCACTTGGGAAGCAGAGGCAAATAGATCTCTGTGAGTCCGAGGCCAGCCTGGTCTACAGAGTGAGTTCCAGGACAGCCCAAGGCTGTGTAGAGAGACCCTGACTCAACAAACAAAAAATACAAAGCAATGACCAGATGGAGCCTAATCCAGGGCCTCATCCATCTGGTTACTGTCTCTCCGAAGCCAGGGGCAGCAGTTGTCCACGGAGTCACTGCAGCAGCTGCTGGAATGTGCACTGACCCCGCTGGTGGATGAGGTGAAGCAAAAAGGCCTGCCTCCTGCCTGCCCCAGCTGCCAGAGGCTACACAAGAAGATTCTGGTACCAGGGACCATGGGTTGCCATGACCCAAGTTACTTTTGTGTTTGGCAGGGTGTGGGCAGCCCCGGCTCAGGAGTCCTGCTGGCTAGTGGCAGGAACAGGAAGCCTGTATGGGAGCAGCAGGCCTTGCCTCTGTGCAGGCAGGAAGACAAAGAGTTCGTTGGCTGCTGAGTTACAGCCCAGTCACTCTGCTACCTAGGGTCACAGACTCTGGCCCAAAGCATATTAATGTACTGGGGCTGGCTTATCATGGGACATATGGGGCTGTAGCTCATGGACATGGGCCTGATTTTCTGTAGCCCTTCAGGGAAGTCAAGGGACTCAGAGGGACCACACTGGGGGAGCCACTTATAGAGTCACACTCCATAGCTGTTAGAACTTGAGAAGCATAGAGAGGCACTGCATGATGTTGGCCTATGGGCTGATGGGATACAACTGTAGGACTATAAGTGGAGTCATGGCCTTGTGCATTGTGGGATAGAGGATAGTGCATGATGGGATATAGGCCTAAGGGGTGATGGGATATGAATTGTAGTGAGCTGCAGCCCATAGGAAGTCACAGGGCGCCAGGCGTTGGTGGCACACGCCTTTAATCCCAGCACTCAGGAGACAGAGGCAGGCAGATCTCTGTGAGTTGGAGGCCAGCCTGGTCTACAGAGCGAGTGCCAGGATAGGCTCCAAAGCCACACAGAGAAACCCTGTCTCAAAAACAAAACAAAACAACAACAACAAAAAAGTCACAGGGCATGGTGAATTGTGGGATATAGAACACTTAATGCTAGGGTGCATTCTTGTGACAGAGGCTGGAATCATAAAAACAGGGTCTTGGAATTTAGGGATGTAGAAGGGCATGAAATTCTGGGATCTGCACGATACAGGACAATTCACAGGCATTAGGCACACAGAACTTCAGATGTGACTCAGCTGGCTGGGACATAGGCCAGTGTATTAGGGACACTCACAGGCTTCCTGAGAGGTACAGTTGGGGATACCAGTGAATTGGGGGATACCTGGGGTAATCCCCAAGCTGAAGGCCTGTTAGGTTGCTTTGGGTGGTGTGTGGGCTCCATGCCACCCGGCCCCTTGCCTTCAGTGACCCAGTTCCCCCTCTACCCCAAGCCCAGTCCAGCAAGCCCTACAGTCCTCTCCCCAGGAGCTGGAGCGCCAGGCCTTGGCCAAACAGGTCAGGGCAGACGCCCTGAGCTCCATCCTTCGGCTGGCCCAAGACGAAGCCGTTCAGGTCAAGAACCTGCTGCTGACGGACAAGATGAGCCCGGAGTGAGGGCGGGTCAAGAACCTACTGCTGACGGACAAGATGAAGCCGGAGTGAGGATGGAAGCAGAGGGCATGGGCCAAGGGCATGGGAGGAGGGTGAGGTCTCCAGATGGGGCCTGGCTCCTCCTTCTCTTGCCCCTCACCCACCCTAGTCCCCAGCTGGGCCTCCCTAGGGCTGACTCCCAGCTGACTGTCATTGCAGGGAGAAGGTGGCCACTTTGGACTATAAGCATTTGAAGATGTGCACCCTCCATGACCAGCCACCTGCCACTTGAGGGGTCCATCAGGGCTATGGGGGGAGGAATCACGGGAGGGGCTCCCCCTAAACGTGGGGGCCCAGGCTCTGAACAATAAATGGCGTCTCACGCTGGCATGAATTCTGACTCTGAGCTGGCATCAAAAGAATAGTGGTCAGGTGTGGATGCTGAGATAAGGGGGTTTCCATGGATCTGGGATAGTCTGGGTCACACAGTGACACCCTATCTCAAAACAAAACAGGGAAGGGATACAGCTCAAATTGTAGAGCACTTGTGGAGCTCGCTGGAAGATCTGGATCCATCTGGACCACCCAGGATGCAGGTGCACACCTGTCAACACCAGACTATCTACACAGAAAATTCCAAGCCAGCCTGTGTTACAGAACACCCGATCTCAAAAGAACAAAGAAGGGGCTGGAGAGATGGCTCAGTGGTTAAGAGCATTTAACTTCTCTTACAAAGAACCTGAGTTCATTTTCAAGCACCCATATATGCCTCCAAATATCTATAACTCTCATTCCATGGTATCTGCTCCCCTCTTCTGGCCTCTGCTGGCACTGCATGTACACAGTGCATGTAACAGTGATACAGATAAATTTAAAAATTTAAAGCTACACAGAGAAACCCTGCCTCAAAAAAAAAATTAAAAATTAAAAATTTAACGTCAGTTCCAGGACAGCCTCCAATGCCACAGAGAAACACTGTCTCAAAAAGAAAGAAAAAGAAAAAGAAAAGAAAGAAAAAAAGAAAAAGAAAAACCACAACAAACAAAAATTTAAAAAGAGGCAGGGCATTGGTGGTGCTCGCCTTTAATCCCAGCAATGGGGAGGCAGAAACAGGTGGATCTCTGTGAGTTCGAGGCCAGCCTGGTCTCCAGAGCGAGTGCCAGGACAGCCTCCAACGCTACACAGAGAAACCCTGTCTCGAAAAACCAAAAAAAGGGGAGGGGGGCTGGTGCATGCATTTATTCCCACCATAGTCAAGGCTATACAGAGAAACCCTGTCTGAAAAAAAAAAAAAAGGGAACAAAAAGAACAAAGAGGAAGTGGAGGAAGGGAGAGGAGAAGGAGGAGCAGAGGCGCGTTAGGCAATTCCCCTGAGGGTGTATAAGAGCGCCCTGGTATTTTTCTGGCCCTCAGTCCCTCATGTCCTAGGAGAGCCCCTCACCCCGTTTTTGCAACTAAGGTTGAAGTATTAGGTTAAGAGTATATCCGGGCTACTGTTTTTCTTTGTTTTGAGACATTGTTTCTTTGTGTAGCTCTGGCTGTCCTGGAACTCACTCTGTAGACCAGGATGCCCTTAAACTCTCCAGTGGTCTCCTGCCTTTGCTTCCTGAGTGCTGGGATTAAAGGTGTGAGCATGCCCCATGATACTGGGACTTGCTTGATTTTCAATAGTGGGACACAGTGACACACACCTGCCATCTCAGCATCAGGGAGGCAGACACAGCTGGATCAAGAGTTGAAGCTCACCCTCTACTACACAGTAAGCTCCAGAGTAGCCTGCCTGGACTACATGACATCCTGTCTCAAGCCTTCTCCTCACAGAAAGGAACTGCTCTTCAGACCTTACTTGGGGATGTTCTAAATGGACCTTTGGGGCTGGGTGGCAGGAGCTGGGCTTATGGTATGAAGAGTTAATTAAGCCAGGGAGTTTGGAGTGGAATCTGCTCAGATGGTGGTGTGGGCTATGGTTAAGGTGAGCACAACTGTGAATCCAAGTCTGAGTGGAAGAGGTGCCCAACCCTCCCCCACCCCTGCACAACAGCACAGTGGAGGTGGCACCCAACTCAAGTATGTTTATTACCAGATGGGTGTGGGGATCCCTGGTACCCCTGTCTGTGCCAGCGTAGCCCTGGGAACAGAGCATTCCTTCCTGAGGGAGACCAGCTCCCAACTGACGGGCTCAAAAGTTGGTGGAGGTTGTGGGGACCTTGGGGTCCACAGTCTTACTGGAGAGAGAGCCACGTCTATATCCTGATTTCTCCCCAAGTCGCCTGAACTGGCACTTGAGATGTTGCCCGGCCTGGAACAGGGAGGCTATGTCCAGCAGCGCATCCTCAATGTGCTGCCCCAGCCGGCGCGAGTCCTAAAGAGAAGCAGACGAGGGTTAGGGACAGCAGCGAGAGTTGAAGGCAGCTAAAAAATGGACCATGGAGTCTTGGGGGAGAAGGCTGAGGCCTAGACCCCTGTATCTGATGGTGGAGGCCAGAGCCGAGAAAGGAGGCTCGAAAAGGGACCCTGGGGTGTGAATGGCTCAGTCCCAGACTTAGGGAGGGGCGAGAAAGCATTCATTCATCTCACTGTTTTTGTGCTTGATTTCTTGCTGGAGATGTGGAAGGTGATCATGTTTTCCCCCATGAAGATATAGGAGATGCCGTACCCATGGTCGTTAGCCTGGAGTGGGGAGAGTGAAGCAAGCCAGTAGCCCAGCCCCTCTTCCATACCCACAGGGCAGGAATCCCCATCCCTCTGGTCCTGGCTGCCCAGCGGCTGGACCACATCCACTCACAGGCCCAAATCCACCTCCAGCCGAAACATAATCCGGATAATTGTGGACGTCAAACAGGTGCATCTGTTGCACCGGGATCTGGCTGGTGGACAGTGGCCACTGCTGCGACTGGACCTGAGGGTAACATGAGCGGAAAAACACCCCCTTTGCTCCAAGGCAAGCCAGACCTCCTCCTATGCCAGCTCCTCCAAAGTCAGTGGCTGTGCTCTGACCATGCCCTCTTTCCCCTAACCACGCCCTTCTCCTGACCCCACCCTCCCTCTTCTACTGTGCTTTCTCCTTCCTTCCTTCCTTCCTTCCTTCCTTCCTTCCTTCCTTCCTTTTATAGTGCTGGGGATTGACCCCATGCACTTTAGCCGCTAGGCAGGGGCTCTACCACTGATCCACACTCAGCCCCTCAGTGGGGGATTCTGGGCCGGTGCTCTGCTGCTGAACCCCACGGGCCCCTCAGCCCCTCTCTCCGGCTTGGCCGTCTCTACACACTTCCACTCATTCTTCTTCCAACATCACCCTCCTTGCTGCGAATTCCTCCCTTCTCCTGCTATTTCCACTTCTCCTAAGCATCTTCCCTGACCTGAGTCAGGAAGGGCGATGGCATGTGGAGGAATCGGGACGTGACGTAGAGTGCAAAGAGGTGCCGGTCGATCCCCTGCCCACTCATCGCTGCCTTCAGCAGAGCCTGGTGCTTGTCCACGGCCACCCGGAACAGGGCAAGGCACTGTTGGTCCTGGGTCCCCCAGGGCAGTCAGAGGTCATGGAAAGACAGGGTGTGGGCTTACTTTGGTAACCTGGATCACACTGGGCCTCAAGCCCAGTATGCCTACAAGACAGGGATATCTACCCCACTGTACAGAGGGGAAATAGGTTGAGAGAGTGGAAGTGACTTGTCCAGGGTCACACAGCCAGGTATAATGGTATGTGCCTGACTTTAGGACCTTTAGACCCTCCAGTGAGCCTCAGCATCTCATGGCTGAAGGTTTGGGACAGGTGGAGAGAGGTTAAAAGCAACCTGAGGCATGGTGAAGAGGAGGTCATGGTCACATGACTTCATGGTTGCTAAAGTGAGAAGAGCAAGAGAATGAGTGGAAACAGGGTTCTCCGCCAAGTGTTCCCCTAGAACTGCATACCACCCCATTAAAGCCCAAACACAGTCTGTCACTATTCCCTCCTGCAGGGATTTTTGAAGACTCTGACAGAGAAGATTTGTCCCTTGTTGTAGAGACCCCTCCCACAGGCATCTGCAATTGTGAGCACAAATGGTGGAGGCTTCAGTGAGGCCCACACTCACTGTCTTCTTGTCTTCCATGGCTCTCACAAACTGGCAGGCCTCTCTAGTGCAACACCTCACCGTCTCCGTCCTGCCTTCTAGGAAGAGTCGTGTCATGGCTGACTCATAAGTCAGGCAGAACTGACCCCTGTCCTGGGGAAAAGGAGAAGAACCTGTCAGCTGACCTCAGGTGTCTTCACAGCTTTGATCCACTTTTGTCCTGTCCTCCAGCCAACCTCCCTCTGCTTACAAATATGTAGAGGAATCAATATGGCAGAACTACAACAAGATGGCTGACCCAAAATATGGCTGATCCACATAGGACGAATGATCCAGAAGATGGCCAATTCACGAGACGATCAACCTACAACAAATGACTGACCTACCTGATTTGGGAGTGCACGCCTTTAAGTCTAGCACTTGGAAGGTGGAGGCAAGTGGATCTCTGTGAGTTTGAGGCCAACAAGGGATACACAGTGAGACCCTGCCCCCTACCCCCTCAAAAGGTTCATCCAAAACACAATGAATGATCCATAAGATAGATTAACAGATGACCCACAATGACAACAAAAGCAACAGACAAGAGGTGGCTGGAAGGCAGTGTTGGAGGCAAGGTGCCGTGGGTGCCAACTGACCCGGAAGTGGGCCAGCTGCAGAACCAGTTGGATGAAACTGTCCGACGAGACATGACAACATTTGATGAAGCTCTTGCCAAAGTGGGAAAAGGGGAAGACATGGCAGTCGATATTGCCAGATAAGGTCTCGGCTCCCCTCAGGGCCAGAGAGATGGATGGATGAATCTGCCAGGGAAGAAGGTATGAGAAATTTACACTCAGGGCTGAGGCAGAGCTGGGCATGGGTCTGGAAGGAAAGATGGGGTGTGGCAGGTGGGTGGGACAGGAAGTAAAGACAGGAAGAGGTTAAGATAGGGCAAGAGCACCAGTGATGGAGTGGGTACAGCTGGGGTGAGGGCAAGTTCTGAGATGAACCGAGTTTGAACAGGTTTGAAGGGACCAGGCACACTGTTGGGTTTGGAGCCTGAAGTTCGGGTGGGGCTATGGGTGTAGGGACAGGCCTGCTTGGGAGAGAAGGTGCAGGGAATAGAAAAGCAAGTATGAGGTAGAATAGGGCTGGGATTGAAGGCGGGATGGGTGGTGGGGACAGTTAAAGTTTTGGGGTGAGGTTAGGGCTGGTGAGAGTATGGGACTCAAGGCGGGGGTATGTTTGGTGTGATGTGAAAGCTGAGACAGGGAGGTGTCCATGAATTCAGGATGAAGAAGGGACTCAGAGGGGATCAGAGCCCAGCCTCACCTGCTCCGGAAGGTCCCACTGCAGGCGCTGGGGCCGTGGCAGTGCAGGGTCAGGCTGTCCCTTACAGTGGCCATCTGCTGCATACCCCAACTGGAAGCATTCTGTGGCCAGGGTAAACTGTGGATAAAACTGTCAATTATCCCCCTCTGGCCATCGTGGGTGGAATGAGGGCTTGTCTAAGCCAGGATTGTGGGATGGATGTTAAGGTTTGCAGATAAGCATCTGCTGTTCAGCCCTCTGGATTCAGGTTTCTACCTCTCTCAGCTGCCTTATAAAGATGGGGGACCAGCAGACCCATCTGTTTCATTTTGAAACAGGGTCTCATGTAGCCCAGGCTGGCCTGGAACTTACTGTGTAGCTGAGGATGACCCTGCACTTCAGTTTCTCCTGCCTCTGCCTCCTATGTGCTGGAATGGCAGGCATGTACCACTACAGCCATCTTGTGTGCAGCTGGGGATGGAATTCAGGGCTTCAGGGGCAGTGGAGCAGCTGAACCCAAAGTCAGCTTTGTTTCATCTTGCAGCAAGACTGGCCGCAGGCTAAAAACATCCTGCTTTCCAAGTGACTGGGTTACAAATGTGTGCTACAACACCCTGTGAGTGTGTGTGTGTGTGTGTGTGTGTCTGCCTTTGCATGTGCATGGGTGGGAGGTGTCACAGGCCTAGGTTCACACTGTCACTGTGCCTTCCTGCTGTGTGACCCTGGAAATTCACTTCCCCTCTCTGAGCCCCAGTGACCCAGTAATTCCAGGCAGGTCATCATGGCAGACACACTTCTTTGCTGGGCTTTTCTCTGCCTATCTTGGGTGTCTTTGGAGCCCAGCCTTAGGAACGCACCTCCCACATATGTCCTGAGACAGGGCAATCAGCCCAGGAGTGCTCCACGCTGAGACCCAGCTTCCCATTGGAGAAGACGATAAGAGTGAAGGATTTGTCAAACCAGCTGCAAGAAAAATTTAGATGGGTCATCAACAGCCAGGGTGGGGAGGATAGTATGGGCACCTGTGTAACTTTTGGTGCATGGGAATGTACTTCGGGGTGCAGAGGGGTCAGGGGAATCAGCAGGGCACCAGCCCTGGGGGCCTCTAGGAGTGCTAGTCTCCACATGGATGTAAAATCCAGGGAATGTTTTTTTGTTTTGTTGTTTTTGTTATTCTAGGAAGTCAGCTCTTTTTGAGGCATTGGAGAGGCTAGGAACAGACCCACAATCTTGGATCTATTTTTATGGTTAAATAATCCTCCATCATGGGACCACACTCCATTACCTGACCAAAGCTCAATGGAGAAGCTGATCTTGACCAGTAACTAGCAACAACTTAGAAGTCCAAAGGTAGGGTATCAGTTAACTAAATCATGCTATACTCAGGCTATGGAATACCACACAGCTGTTAAAAAGGAAGGGGTACATCTATGATTACTGACACAAGATGAGCCATCAAAACATAGTGGGCAGTGGTGGTGCACGCCTTTAATCCCAGTACTCAGAAGGCAGAGGCAGGCCAGCCTGGTCTACAGAACTAGTTCCAGGACTTCCAGGGCTACACAGAAAAACCCTATTTCAAAAAAACAAAAACAGAGTCTAGAGTCTTGATTTGATGAGTTCTCTGGGCTAGAGGTCTCCTTGTTCTACTAAACCGAGTTTGGGGTTGTCAGATGTCTGTGACCCCTGTATCTAGCTGCTGAGGCTGTCTTCTTGGAGGGGCCCTAGGTCTGCGCTGGAGTGTGGGAGGGTTGATAGACTTACCGGTCATGACCTCGGCCAGCCAGCAGAGCATGGGCATAGGCATCCAGGGAAGCTGCAGGGTCCTCCCTGGTCAGTCCCGCAGGCTCAGAATCGAGGGACACAAAGAAGGCGGCCCCTTCCACAGCCTCCAGGGCTGTGGCGGCATGGGTCTTCACCGACTCCCGAACCTGGGCCCACATACTCCTGTCCAAGTGGGAGGGGCCTGAGCCCAGCGGGCCCTTTCCCCTGCCCAGCCTACTCCCCAGAGCCCAGCCTGCTCCCAGGAGTTCAGCCTGCTCCCTGGAGCTCAGCACATCCTTGTAACTTCAGGCCATCGGCCCTCACCTGGGAGCAGCAGTCAGAGCTGCTAGATGTTCCTCAAGGGGACAGGCTGGGGAGGGGTCATCCAGGATCTCCTGGAACTGCTGCTCTAGGGCCCGTGGGGACAGCAGGCCATTGGAAGAATGGGTCTGTAAACGGAAGAATCGGCCCCGGTGGAAGACAGCCACATGCCAGCTGTCCTGGAGGTGACGGAGGTAGTCTGGAGGAGTATGGGCAGAACATGGAGGAGGGAAGAGGCTATGTTATAAGACACCCACTTACTAATGTTCTCTGTCCCTTGGGCTATGCTCTTGTTTAATTTTGACAGTTGTGTAGTATCCCATAGCCCAAGTGTAACCCAGGTTAGCTTCAAATTTGATATGCAGCAGATGATGACTTTAATTTTTTTTTTTTTTTTTTTTTTTTGGTTTTATAAGACAGGATTTCTTTGTGGCTTTGGAGGCTATCCTGGAACTTGCTCTGTACACCAGGTGACTTTGAATTCTTTATTCTCATGCCTCCACCTTCCTGGTGCTGGGGTGACAGGTCTACCACACTTCATTTATTTGGTGTCTAGAATGGAGCCACGGTTCTCCTGTGTGCTAGGCAAGAATTCTGCTAAGGGGCTGGAGAGATGGCTCAGTGTTAAGGACACCCGTGTTTCCAGAGGATCCAGTGGATTCCCAGCACCCAGATAGCTGCTCACAACCATCTGTAACTCCAGTTCCGGGTCTGACACCCTCTTTTGGTCTCAACAGGCACTGCATATGCGTGGTGCACAGACATGCATGCATGCACAGCACACATAAACATAAAACAAAATACAATTAAAGAAAAGGAGGGTCAGGGCCAGGTGGCTCAGAGGTTAAGAGCCCTGGCTGCTCTTCCAAAGGTCCTGAGTTCAGTTCCCGGCATCCACAGGGCAGCTCACAACCATGTGTAACTCCAGTTCCAGGGGTCTGATCCCTTCAGACCCCCAGAGGCACTAGGCATGCACTTGGCACACAGACATTACACACAGGTAAAAAAAACTCATAAAATAAAATGAATAAATAAACTGAATTTTTATTTAAAAAAAAAAAAAAGGAAGAAAAAGAGGTCTGGCTGCAGCAGCACCTGGGAGGCAGAGGCAGGTGGATCTCTGTGAGTTCAAGGCCAGCCTGGTCTACAGAGCGAGTTCTGGGACAGGCTCTATAGCAATACAGAGAAACCCTGTCTGGAAAAACCAAAAAAAACCCTCTACAGAGAATTTCTTCTGGATTGTCCCACACTAAGCTATTTTTAACTTTATACTAGTCCAGGTCAGTATTATTCCATTTTACAGTTGAAGAAACTAAGGACAAAGATTTGCCTGAGGCCACACAGAAATCATTCCAATCAGGACAGAGACCCCCAGAGGCTGACTAAAGCCTTGCCCTTAGCCAAAGGCGCTGTCTCAGAAGGCCCAAGGACTGAGTAGGGCTTATTCTCACCTTTTTCCACCCCTGGAACCCGTGTGGTGTTGAATATCTTCTCGAACTGGGCAGAGCACAAGGGTCGCATTCCCATCAGCAGTGTCTGCAGGAGGCCAAGGGCTCCTGAGCTGGGCCGTTTGCTTCCCTGCACCTCCACTCCCAACCCAAGGGTCTGCCTTACCGGTGGGATCTCCTGCTGGTTCAGAAGGTGGCGATACAGGAGGAGGGCATGGACGGCATTGCCTGCACGCGCTGATTGCAGTGGTGTGGGTGTGACATACAAGAAGTCCTGCTTGGTGGCAAAAGAAGGGGATGCAGAATACATTGAGACCGTGCTTGTCCCTGAAAGGGGCCCTGACCTCCAAAGCAGATGGGATGGTGGCTCCAGACACTGTTCTGGACTTTATTACATCATGGGTCATCAAGGCCACAAGGCCACCCACTGCCTCTCCCCGCTCCTCACCATCATGTAGTAGGTGCTGTTAACCATCAGTGAGCCTCTGGAGCGCAGATACACAAACTCTTCCCACCAGTCACTCACCTGGGAGGATAATCAGAGATGCTCAGCTAGGGTGGCTGAGACCTTGTGGGGGAGGGACAGTGTCACCAGGGAGCCCACAGACTTCCCTGTGTCACACGGCAGAAAGGATCTCAGTGGTTATGATTACCAACAAGCAATAACCTATATGTCCATTGATGAAGGATTGGTTAGTTATGGAATATTATGTACCCATTAAACAGAATAAGGGGCAAGTACTTGCTTTGCAAATACTAAAGTCTCAGGGCCCACATAAAGGTCAGGTGAGCACTGAGATTACAAATGAGGCTTCACTTGTAATCTCAGTGCAGGGGAGGAAGAGACAGGAGAATTTCTGGGTACCTGCTGGCCAGACACGCTAGCCCAATCAGCAGGCCCTACATCTCAGAGAGGAGATGGAGCTGGGAGCTGGCTCAGCAGTTGAGAGCACTTGCTGCTCTTATAGAGGATCTGGATTTGGTTCCCAGCACCCACATGGTAACAAATGCATATAACTCCAGTTCTAGGGGATTAGGTCTGCCACCCTTTTCTGGCCTCTGTAGATACTGCATATATGTAACACACCCACACATACAAACATGCACACACTCATACAAAAACAAAAACTTAGCTGGGCATGGTGACACATGTCTTTTATCCCAGCACTTAAGAGGCAGAGGCAGGTAGATCACTCAGTTTGAGGCCAGCCTGGTCTACCAAGAGTTTTAGGACAGCCAGGATGGTTTCACAGAGAGATCCTGTCTTGAAAAACAAAAAACAGCTAGGCAGTGGTGGCTAATGCCTTTAATCCCAGAACTCAGGAAGCAGAGCAAGAGAATCTCTGTGAGTTCGAGGCCAGTCTGATCTACAGAGTAAGTTCCAGGACTGCCAAGGTTACACAGAGAAATCCTGTTTTGAAAAACCAAAATAAATACAAAAGAACAAAAACCCAACAAGAAAAAGCAAAAAAAAAAATCCACAACTGTATCATGTGCCCTGGAGGGATGACACTCAGGCATGCACACATTTGTATATCTGTACACACAAACATGCATGCATACCTGTACATACATATACCTTATAGGCACACACACACACAACACACACACACACACACACACACACACACACACACACACAGTAAATCCACATAAAACAAGCATCAAGACAGTTTTGAGGGCTGGGGATGTCTCTCTTGTTGCAGTGCCTGCGTCCACAGATCAGGTATGGTCCTGCCTTACACACACTATGTAAGTGTACTCTACCAATTGAGCCATAATCCCAAAATGTCCTATATGTATTTCTTAAAACATTTTAGATTTATTTTATGTTTGAGCATTTTGCTTGCATATTTGTCTGAATGCTACAGGGTGCAGCACCCTCAGAGGTCAGAGAAGGGCATCAGATCCCCTGAAACTGGACTTGCAGAGACTTCTGAGTCACCATGTGGGTGCTGGAACCTGAACCCAGGTCTCCGTAAGTGCAACAAATGCTGTTAACTGTTGAGGCATCTCTCCAGTTCCCTATATATACTTTAAAAATTTATTTTTTATTTTTTTATTTACTATTTATTTATTTAGGTTCTTCGAGATAGGGTTTTTCTGTAGCTGTCCTGGAACTCACTCTGTAGACCAAGCTGGTATTGAACTCACAGAGATCCGCCTATCTCTCTGCCTTCCAAGTGCTGGGATTAAAGACATGAGCCACCACAGTCCAGCCTATGGTTCATGTCTTTATATTTTGTTGTGAGCCTAGCCTATAATGGCTGTGCCATCTCTCCAGCCCGATTCATGTCATTAATCTCAGCACTCTGAGTTCAAGGCCAACTTGGTCTACAGAGCTGGTTCTAGAATAGTCGGCTACACAGAGAAACCCTGTCGGAGTGGGGGAGGGGAGGATTTAGAGCATAGGCGGAGTGCTGCCAAAGGGGCGGGCTACTGGGCAAGAGGAAGGACTTACTGAAGTTCCATTAGCCAACAAATCAAAAGCAGGTTGGAGCAGGCCAATCACTGAGACAAGGCAACTGTGGCAGGGGCGTGGCTAGGGCAGGCCGCCCAATCACCATAGGGCCGGGCTGAGCCCCCACAACTCACATAGTTGGAAGCACACCATGACTTGAGGCGCAGGTAGAGCTGCAGCCGTGGTGCCTGCAGCTTCAGGAAGTCGCTCGCCAGAGCCGCAGCGTGGTCGAAAGCATCGTCTCCAAGCACAGGGCGCACCGACTCCAGGTACTGCAGGTAGAGGTGGAGCAGAGCGTCAGAGCCCCGCCGCCCTGGGGCCGCCCCACCCTGGGACACGCCTACCTTTCGTACGGACTCTTGTGCTGTTGGCACCGGCTGGCGCGGGGGGGGACGTGGGACGTTGGAAGCTGAACAGCCTTGGGTGCCTCCCTGAGAAGATTCGGACAAGTGCCTGAGGGACAGAGGAGAGGACCGAGTTGGGGTAGGGAGAAGGAAGGACGAAGATGATGTGGGGGAGTGGAAGGATGGGAGAGAGAAGAGACGATGAAGATGATGATGGAGAGGGAGAATGGAGAGATGGAGAAGAATGGATGGGGGAGGGAAAGGGGAGGATGGAGATAATGAAGGGAGAGAGGCAGAGACGGTGAAGAACAGGTTTAGAGGACAGAGGTGATGGAGGGGAGATGATGCAGGTTGAGAAGACAGATGATGTAAAGAGGGACAGATGAGAGGGGTGAAGGAGACGATTTGGAGACTCAGAAAGACCCACAGGGAAAGAGAGGGACAGAGACTCAGAAAGACCCACAGGGAAAGAGAGGGACAGAGACTCAGAAAGACCCACAGGGAAAGAGAGGGACAGAGACTCAGAAAGACCCACAGGGAAAGAGAGGGACAGAGACTCAGAAAGACCCACAGGGAAAGAGAGGGACAGAGACTCAGAAAGACCCACAGGGAAAGAGAGGGACAGAGACTCAGAAAGACCCACAGGGAAAGAGAGGCAAAGACCTACAGAGAGAGAGAGAGAGAGAGAGAGAGAGAGAGAGAGAGAGAGAGAGAGAGAGAGAGAGAGAGAGACAGACCCAGAAAGAGGGACAGCAGCTTGTATTCTGGTGGTCTAGATCCTCTCACATACCAGCCAGGTCTTCGTGGGTGAAGACATGCTACCATGAGGTTCCAGAAGCCAGCCATGGTGGGATAGAAGGAGCCTCAGCGCCACATGAAGTGTGAAAATCAGGGCTCCCCATAAACACGAGGCAAACAGTGCTGCTGCCAGGAGTCCCCGGAGCTGATAGTGCTGTCCACCCCTGGGAGAGAACATATGACGAGCCCCTGCGGCTGTGCAGTGGACTGCAGCTGCAGGGTGGGCGTTGGAAACAACCATGTGACGGACACATTTATCTCATACTGTGGGTGTGTCCCTCTGTTGCCCATGACCAACCTTATGGAAGCACCAAGCTTCTAAAAAATCACTTTCCTGGGATCAGGTACACACCATGGTAGAGTGCTTGTCCAGCATGCAAACACCCTGGGTTCAATTCATACATAAGCCGGGTGTGGTTGTACAACTTTAAAATCCCAGTACTGGCTGGGCAGTGGTGGTGCACACCTTTAATTCAGAGGCAGAGGCAGGCGGATCTCTATGAGTTCGAGTGCTGGGATTAAAGGAATGAGCCACCTCACCTGCCCCCTGATAAAGTTTCAGGTCTGACTACGTGATAAGAGATAGAAAGCCTGATGTGGTAGCCGGCGGGGGGGGGGGGCACATGCCTTTAATCCCAGCACTCGGGAGGCAGAGGCAGGCGGATCTCTGTGAGTGTCAGTCCAGCCTGGTGATGGGGAATGTACTGTGTATGTTTATCTTATTGACTATTAAATAAAATACTGTTTGGCCAATGAGACAGCAAGTAGACAGGACTAGGAGTCAAAGAGGATTCTGGGAAATGTGGTGGTGAAGTGCTGATCCAGACAGGAAGTGACATAGCAAGGAGACTCATATTTAAGTGAAGGAGAAACAGGAAGGGCCCTCTCTTTTCCACTTCCTCCTCCAGCGGCAGGATGTGAGCCACCGGCAAGGAGGGACAACAATAAGGCGTCCGATAAGATAAGTCTTATAAAATATATAGATTTATGATAATTAAGACTGAGCTAACATGAGAATGCTAGTCATTGGCCAAGCAGCTTTAAACCTAATACAAGTTTCTGTGTATTCATTTGGGCCTAACTCGGGCTGGCGGCTGGCGTAAAGCTCACATGTGGCGGTGGGGCTCAGGAGGCTTTTGGCGGAAAGATTTATCATAACAGCCTGGTCTCCAGAGCAAGTTCCAGAATAGGCTCCAAAGCTACAGAGAAACCCTGTCTCAAAAACAACAACAACAACAACAAAAAAGAAAGCCTGATGTGGTAATCTTGGGAGATGGAGGCAGGGGGATCTCTGTGAGTTGGAAGCTAGCCTACTCTACATATTGGGTTCCAGGACAGTTACGACTATATAGAGAGACCTTGTCTCAAAAACAACAAGCAAACAAAATCGGGCTGAAGAGACGGCTCTACAGTCTAACGCACTTGTAGGAGACACAGGTTAGATTCCCAGCTCAACCATTTTACTCTAGTTCTGGGGGATCCAATACCTTCTTTTGGCCTCCTCTGGCACTGTGTACATGTAGTACACAGATAGACATGCATGCAGTCAAAAATCACATACAAAGGGAGTTCCAGGACAATCTCTACTAAAGGTCTCTACACAGATAAACCCTGTCTCAAAAACAAAACACACAAATAAAAGTATGAAATGAAAGAGAGGGAACCTCCTTTTTGTGGCTGTACCCCTATTAAAGTAAGTTCCAGAAATTACATTTTGTTTGTTTTTTCGACACAGGGTTTCTCTGTAGCTTTGGCACCTGTCTGGCAACTCACTCTGTAGACCAGGCTGGCCTCGAACTCTCAGAGATCCACCTGCCTCTGCCTCCAGAGTGCTGGCTCCCGGAAATTGTTTTTCTTTGAAAGGCAAACCACAGAGTTTCTTGGTGGGGGTCAGGGCGGTGACAGTGGAGGGGGGTCCTTACCAGTCTGGAAGCAACTCTTTAATCTTCTCCATCAGTCCTAGAGAAGGGTCCAGCTGGAGGAAGCAGGCAAGTTGGATGGCACTGAAGAGGAAAAGCCAGCTGAGGGGGCTCGCAGGGACCATGCCAGTAAGAAAGTCGTTCTGTGGTGAGAAAAGACATTGTTAGTCATATGTTTCCTCTAAGGGCATGCTCTAGATCACTCTCAGTGGCTTATAGGGTCCCGGATGTGAGCAGAGCTCAGGATCCGGCTGTGATAGAGCCTATTCCTAGAATCTACCATGGTAGGGCACTTTCTGAGACTCCACCAGTGAAGGATTGGGGGCATTACTCAAGCTGGCCTAGACTGTTCAAGACCCTGGGTTCTGACACTCAACACCAATAAATAAATAGATAAAAGTCAAGATAAGGAGACTTGAATTCTAGAAGTTGTTGGGGGAGAAGTCGTATGGGGAAGAGGTAGGAGTGAGTGAAGAGCTGAGCAGGGGAGACCAATGGGTGGGATCGAGCATCCCAGATGAAGGCTTAGACAAACAGCTAATAGTGGCCTGGGATTGGACATCCTGATCTTCAGACGTGGGCTTCAGGCACCCCAGATTCAGGTACCTAGATCCCCAGAACGAAACTAGCCCTTCTCACCCAGACGCGCCAGAGATGCCTCTTCCAGGAGCGCAGACCAGAGAGGTAAATCTCCTGCCACACCGGGGAGGTGAGCTCTACTTCTGCCCCATCGGAGCTCAGTGAAGAAAGCACGCTGGAGGCCTGGAGTGCCTCAGCCATGTTCCCTGGAATCTCTGGGAGGAAGATGGAGTCATTCTCCTGGACCTCGGTGCCTACTCCCTCAGACCCAGGGGTGCAGACTTTGGTTTTTGCTCTCAGACCTTGGGAGGGGATCCAGGCCCCTAGGAATCTAGACTCCAGCTCCCCTTAAGACCCAGCGATCCAACCCCCAGTCTCCTCTCTCAGGCCCTACCCCTTCCTCCCCACAGCAGGGCCACAGGACTCCACACTCTGCACTAAGCACCTGAGGGGTATTGCAGTTCACAGCTGGAGAGTTAGAGGGCTTGGGGCATTCAATTGGGGATCTCTGTGAATGTAGACAGCGAGTGGAGCAGGCTGTCTTGCTGAGAATTCAATGCTCAGTATTGGGGGTGGGGGGAATTGATCCAGGATTAGTTGTGGGGCTTCAAATAAAACACTAGTTTTTTAGTTCTTTTTTAAACGTACTAGTTTTTAGACCTATAGGGAAATGAACACCTGCTGACGACGGTGGCAATGTTCAATTCCCATTGCAAGGCAGAGGCATGAGGGTCCTTTCCACTATGGGGTCTGGAAAGGGATGGGAGAGGAAGCACCCTACTGCGCATGCTCGGCAGCGAGGGATGCTGGTGATGAATGAACGGGAGTCCAGGACAAGTGATGGAGAGCCCCACTCGCCTACCCCCATACAAGTCTCATAGCCCTCTTGAGCCCTGCCCTGTACTTACGCTGTTCAGGGGTCAGCAGCTGCGGCTCCTGGGATGAATCGCACGGACACCTCCTTCCTCCCAGGCTCGCTTGTATATATATCCAGTCCCCGTGTAATGAGTCCACGACCTGATTAACCCTCTTTGGCTGTCACTTGTCACCTTAAAGCCCACATCCTCCTCGCGTGCACCTAACTAGGAATTCAGGTCCCGGCCTTTATCCCCGCCCCCTCTGATCCCTCCGCGTTCTCTTTCTGCCCCTTTACAATCCCTCCGCGTTCTCTCCCCGCCCCCTTCAAGTCCTAGCGTCCAACCCCCTCATCCCAAGCCCGGTGTTTTTTCAATCTTTTCAAAGGACCAGACCAGCCTTGGCTCTGTGAGAGCCCACAGTCTTCTTCTAGGCGCAGCCGAATGGCCGCATGTCCGTGCAGCCCATCTTAGAAGAATCTTGTGGCCAGGCTAACCCACCAGAACTATCCACAGCAGGTATACGGATTGAGAGACACATGAGATGCCACTGGGAGTGGATTCAAGCTAGACAGAGGGACGGCAGGCACAAGACACACGTTAGTGAGGCTTTATTCCACGCTGGATGCTCATACTGTCCACAATGGATCTGGTGGGCTCTTGGGTCTACCCCAGGACAAACCCAGTTACCCAGCAAGAAAGGTGCTGCCCAAGCCTCTTTGCTGCAGGTGGGGCGCTGTGGAGGTCCTAGGGAACTCCTTTCCTCTAGCAGGGTACTCCTTGGAGCAGAGCCAAAACCAGAGGAGCTCCAGGGCTTGAAATAGCAGGACCCAGGAACCAAGTGTGGCTGAAGAACCAGAGCAGTAGGCACAAGCAGGAAGCCAGCCAGACTGCTCATCTCCTTCCCAAGGGCATTCTAAAGCCCAGGCCTGCTAAGTGAGCTTTGGCTTTGGCTACCCAGCCCCATTTGGCCATGCCACATAGGATGCAGATTCAATTCCTGCCTGTTCCCAGCCCAGGGTTACCCAGCTTCCATTAAGACACTAGTGGGTCAGGACACTGGTCTCCTTACTCCTGAGGGCACGAGGGTGAACCAGCCCACTTAAAAACAGCACAGGAAGGGGAGGACATGGAGGGCAGGCTCTGGGCTGGAGAGGCAGACTGGAAGCCAGGGGAAGGTGGTTCTGCTGAGGACTGCCCTCAACCTCAGCTCCAGGGAGGAAGGAGGTACCCCAAGTGCAGGCAGGGAGGCTGAAGGCTGCGTCTGGGACGGGTGAAAAGGGAATTATGGGAATCCAGAGTGGGTACAGCCAGGAATCCTAGCCCCAACTACAATGGAAGTTCCCCAGGAAGTGACAAGCTACCCAGTCACCCTAGTCCCCAGGGCAAGAAGTGAACGGTCAGCTGAGGATTTATTGGCGCAAACGCAACCATATAAAAACATAAGTTATGAAAAACACAGTCACGATGTACCCTCCCATCCCCCAAGCCCATCCCGAGCCCCTTCTGCAGGTGGTCAGCCTGGCAGCGCCTCAGCGCATCCGGTAGTCAGTGGAGCAAGAGAGCTCACATAGCTGGCCCTTGAAGTCCAGGTCGATGGTGAAGTCCAAGTCGCGCTAAAGGGAAAAGGTGGCAGATAGGGCTTAGGAATGGCATCAAGCCAAGGGTGAAGTGTACTAGCAACTTATGCTAGCCTCTCCATACCCCGCACCCTGACTCAGTGACCACAGAATAGGCCACCTTCACCCCACTGTTTCCAAGTCACCACCAAAGCCCAGCCACAGTCTAGGACAGTTTCTGCATCAAGGGGGGGACACTACCTGTCAGCAAGTGCTATTCTTTTACTCTACCAGAGTGCCATTACTGTCTCTAGCCCCACTCCAAACTTCCCTAAACTCCTTCCACCCATGGAACAAGGCTGGGCTACTGGTATTGCCAACATCACCTCACTTTCTGACTTCAGTGGCTCCATCTTTGACAGAGGGCACTGATGATTATCACCGAACCCAGCAGCCATGCTGGGACTTCCTATTACCACCCAAGCCAACCCTCCTGCTTAGCACTGTTTTCTGCACACCCCCACACATCATGTTTCCTCCCCTGCAAGCCTCACATTGTTTTTGGCGTTGGGCCTCATGCCAATGGTGCCAAAGATCTCCTCGCCAGTCTTCACTGTGAGGTAGTCCTCCATGTAGAACACAGTCTGCTTCCAGTGTGTGTATGGGGACTCAGGACCTGAAAGGTGGGCACCGTCAATCCCAGCCTTTGCCTGGGTGTTGCCCATGCTATACTCTGAACAGCCAGCAGCCCCACAAGATCACTACCAGCACTCTGCCTGTGTTTAAGTAGCTACACCTGGATCCGACTCAGTCACTCAACCCCTGACAGCAGAGCCAGGCTGGAAGTTGGAACAGGTTCTCAGTGCCCCATATTCACCCTTGATCCTAACAGAACTAGTGGTGGAACCCAAGGCCAGGGTACCACAGCCCCTCACTGGGAATTAATTCCAGGCAGGGGCTCTAATGCTCTATTTCCAACTGTCTTTTCTGAGATAGGGTATCACCCAACTTGTTTGTACAGGTTGGCCTTAATCTTGACAGCTTTCTGCCCTAGTTCCCAAGTAAGTAGCTCTATGACAGCCATAAGCCCCAAAGGTTCATCCTCTGCTTTTCAACACACAGAAACTTCAATGACGTCCTTTTGGCCCTGGCCCTGGCCCTGGCCCAGCCCCACCCAGCCCTCACTGGTGGAAAAGCCGGTCCTCTTGTGGCATCGGGTGAACTCGATGTTGAAGTAGGCCACCAATGCGTGCACGTAGTCATTCCTCTTCACTTGTAGGCAGAAGGGGGAGGTGAAGGTCAGGTCCTCTACCTTGACTGTATAAATGTCCACCTCCTGCAAATTGGCAAGCCAGTGCTCAGAGCCCATCCCCCACCTGAGAACTACTGCCCACTTGATAAAGCCCACTCCTATCACAGCAAATAGACACCCAGTAAACTCCACCCATTTCTGAAACAGTCTCCATGTTTAGCCCTCAAAAAAAAATTATTTTTTTTTTAAAAAAAGATTTATTTATGGCTGCTAGAGATGGCTCAGTGGTTGAGAGCACTACTGGCTACACTTCCAGAGAACCTGGGTTCAAATCCTAGCACATACTTGGCAGCTCCCAACTGCCTTTAACTCCAGTTCCAGATCTGATGTCCTCTTCTAGCCACAGGCAACAGGCACAACACACATGGGACAAAACACATATATTAAAACACATATATTAGCTGGGCCATGGTGGCGCACGCCTTTAATCCCAGCTCTCAGGAGGCAGAGGCAGGTGGATCTCTGTGAGTTCAAGATCAGCCTGGTCTCCAGAGTTCCAGGGCAGGATCCAAAGCTACAGAGAAACCCTGTCTCTAAAAACCAAAACAAACAACCCCCCCCTCACATTTTAATGTATAGTTATGCATGTGTGTGCGAGTGCCTGCCTGATTTATGGAGCTATATCCATGCATATGGCCACTGAGGCTACAGGATGTTCAATCCTGGAATTGGGATTTACAAACAGGACAGAGAACCGCCTGATAGACTCTGAATGAGCAGCAAATGCTTTTAACCACTGAGTTACCCATCTCTCCAGTCCCAACTCTTGATCCTCAGATCACAAACAACCAAAACCCCAGTACGGAACCCCAGCAGCTCCCCCAGTCCACCAGCTCTGTCTGTCCACAGCTGAGCTCTCAAGGGGCATCAGAGCTCCTTGCACCCTGAACACCAAGCAGGGGCTGGCTACCTCACATCCCAGCCTGCTTCTAGCAGTCGCCTGTCTGGGGCTGTTTCTGCTTTAGTGAACTCAACCTGCCTTGTCCTTGCTATCTTTCCTGGAACTCGGCACCAGGCATGGCGCTCACACGTCAGATGTGAGTCAGCCGTCTTCCCTAGGTCTCTAATGGATAGGTAGTAGCTCAGGGGCCTGGAACCCTGACCCTGTGAGTTAGTTACCTTTATGAGGCAGGCATTAGTGACCAGCTGCTTCGGATCCACCACGTCCACCAAGGGCTCTTTGATGGCCACGTCTTTGATGCAGGACATATCAAAACCATATACATTCTCCCACCCTGGGTACAGACAGGGACAGATGAGCCGTGGATCCAGGTCATGCATTCACCACCCACTCTGTCCTCACTACCCCATACAGCCCCAGCTCACAGTGGATCTTGTAGTCTTTATACTGTCGGTCCTCAATGGCTGTCACATAAAGGGTAGCCCGGTCTGGAAAGATGAGCCCATCGGGTGCCTGAGGGAGGAATTAGGTGAGAGCAAGAGCCTAACACTACCTGAGCAGACCCACTGTGCTCCCTGGCTATCACCCTCCACAGCGACCCCTTAGTTTTCTATGTCTAACCCTCGTCGCACTCAAGCCTAGACTGTCCTACAGTTCTCAGGACCCTGGAAACACTCCAAAGGGAAAGACACCCCACCCCATCTGTACAGAGGCCTCCAGGCCCTGTCTGTCATCTCCTGGCTGCTGCTACAGCAGCCCCACTTCTGATGCAAGACTTCCACCGACTTCTCAAGGTCGCTCCTGTCTGCCACTCCTTTGGTCCCCTCCCCTCAGGAGGCCGTGCTCTGCCCTGTGGGGACCCTGTGGCTCACCAGCCACTTGTCGCGGGCATGCAGCACGGTGTTGAGCATGGACTCGTAGAAGAGGCAGTAGCCCATCCACTCGCTGATGATGATGTCAACCTTGTCCACAGGCAGCTCCACCTCCTCCACCTTGCCCTTGATGATGGTCACCACTGCAGCCACAGGAATGACGTGCCAGTCAGGGGACTGGCACGGCTGGCTCCAGACACCCCACA